CGCATGGAAAATCTTCTCAACATATTATACATACTGTCCATGGAGTTTTTTTTGTATTTTTAGTAGAGAGGGGGTTTCACCGTGTCGGCCTGGATGGTCTCGATCTCCTCACCTGGTGATCCACCCGTCTCAGCTTCCCAAAGTGCTGGGATTACAGGCGTGAGCCACCGCGCCCGGCCACCCCTGCGCTTTTAAAAAACGGAAGTCAATGCAAATCTCTTCCTCAGGAAATTGATATTTAGATTGTGCATGTATGTGAGAGGGAGGTAGAATAAACAAGATGGACACCTGTTTCATAACTTTGGTCACAATAAATTATTATGAATGACAAACCGGCCCCAGAGTTAAATGCATGTTAACTGGAGTTCAATCAATATTTGAACACCAACCACTTACCATGGAACCTTGAATACACTACTTAACCCTCCCTTGTCTCAGTTATTCATGTATAAAATGTGGAAGATAGCCTGGCTGACGTGGTGAGATCTCGTCTCTATAAAACATGTTTGTTTGTTTGTTTGTTTTTTAAGTAAGCCAGATGAGGTGGTGCACCTCTGTGGTCCTAGCTACTCGCAAGGCTGCGGTGGGAGGATCACTTGAGCCCAGAAGGTGGAGGCTGCAGTGAACCATATTCATGCCACTGCACTCCAGCCTGGGTGACAGAGTGAGACCCCATCTCTACAAAACATTTTGTTTGTTTGTTTTTTGTTTTGTTTTGTTTTTGAGAGACGGAGTCTTTCTCTGTGGCCCAGGCTGGAGTGCAATGGCACCATCTCGGCTCACTACAACCTGTTTCCCGGGTTCAAGCGATTCTCCTGCCTCAGCTTCCTGAGTAGCTGGGACTACAGATGTGTGCCACCATGCCCAGCTAATTTTTATATTTGTTTAGTAGAAACGGGGTTTCACTATATGTTGGCCAGGCTGGTCTCGAACTCCTGACCTCAAGTGATGCGCCTGCCTTGGCCTCCCAAAGTGTTGGAGTGTTGGGATTACAGGCATGAGCCCCTGTGCCCGGCCACCGGTTTTTTTTTTGAGACGGAGTCTTGCTCTGTCGCCCGGGCTAGAGTGCAGTGGCTGGATCTCAGCTCACTGCAAGCTCCGCCTCCCGGGTTTACGCCATTCTCCTGGCTCAGCCACGAGGTCAGGAGATCGAGACCATCCTGGCTAACACGGTGAAACCCCGTCTCTACTAAAAATACAAAAAACTAGCCGGGCGAGGTGGCGGGCGCCTGTAGTCCCAGCTACTCAGGAGGCTGAGACACGAGAATGGCGTGAACCCAGGAGGCGGAGCTTGCAGTGAGTGGAGATCGCGCCACTGCACTCCAGCCTGGGCGACAAAGTGAGACTCTGTCTCAAAAAAAAAAAAAAAAAGAGAGGCATATCACCCCCAAAATGTTGGGGAAGGAAGTTCTAAACCCTCTTTGTGTGATAAGATCCTTTATTTATTTATTTATTGAGACGTGATCTCACTGTATTGCCCAGGCTGGTCTCGAACTCCTGAACTTAAGTGATCCTCTTACCTCCACCTCCCAAAGTACTGGGATTACCCTCCTGAGCCACTGTGTCCAGCCAGACAGGGTCCTCTCTGGCATCTGGGTTCGGTGTCATACCCCACCCAACACCTTTCTTAGGGCTCTTAGTTTTTGTTTTTGAGACAGGGTCTCCCTCTCTCCTCCAGGCTGGAGTGCAGCAGCCCAGTCACTGCTCACTGCAGCTTCAACCTCCCAGGGCGCTGGTGATTCTCCCACCTCAGCCTCCCAAGTAGGTGGGATTACAGTCTCGTACCACCACGCTCAGCACATTTTTTGCTTGTTTGTTTGTTTATTTTTGAGATAGGGTCTTGCTCTGTCACCCAGGCTGGAGTGCAGTGGCACTATCTCTGCTCACTGCAGTCTCCACCTTCCGGGTTCAAGCAATTCTCTTGCCTCAGCCTCCACAGTAGCTGGGGTTACAGGCACATGACACCATCCCTGGCTAATTTTTTTGTACTTTTAGTAGAAGACAGGGTTTTGCCATGTTGGCCAGGCTGGTCTCGAACTCCTGACCTCAGGTGATCCGCCTGCCTTGGCCTCCCAAAGCGCTGGGATTACAGGCGTGAGTCACCGCACCCAGCCAAATTTTTGTATTTTTTGTAGAGACAGGATCTTGTTATGTTGCCCAGGCTGGTCTTGGCTCTTAGGTTTTTCTCTCTCTGTGTTTGTGTGTATGTGTGTGTGTGTGTGTGTGTGTGTGTGGTTGTTTTCCTTTATCTTGATAAAGGGTGAACGTGGCACACAGGCGCAAAATAAACAAGACTGACACCTGTTTCATAACTCTGGTCACTATTTTCATCTGCATCTGTCACTTCTGATGCATCTCCAACATTTGTAACATTTCTCTGGGGAGGGATCTGACGTACCCATGCCCCACCCCTTTCTATACTTATGAGATTGAACTGTCCACCAGCCACCCATGGGCTGATGTCTTTGGAATATGGATCTAGTACCAACAGGGTCATGAAAAGAGATGGGGTCCAATGGGCTACAGTTGGGGGGTGGTCCCAGGATACAGAGTATAGTAGCTTCTATTGGGGGATGGCGGCTTTCCAGGAGACGAGTCACAAGCTTGCCTGTGGGACTTGTGTCTTGCGGGGAGGACACAGCTGCCTCAGGTCGGGGAGACAGACAGAGTGTGCCGGGTCCCCTCTTTCCGCCGTAGCATGAAGTCTCCGGGGGCGGCTGGACTCATGGCATAGAAGACGTTGGCATTGTCAGGAATCAGGAGCTCTGGTCAGGAGTGGAGACGGTGGTAATAGACCCTCACAACCTTGTGTCACCCTCACAGAGTACCCAGGAACCTACTACCACTCAACCTCGAACCTGAACAGCCGTGGGTCCCTCTGCAGCTACTGCCAAGCAAGCTCATTCTGCTCTCACTGGGAATCTGGACAACTTCTCACTTGAAAACCTGCACCACCTCAAGCCTTCCCTTATCAAAAGCCTGGGCAACCTCCTAACATTCTCCCCCTCATCACAGACAAGGCAACCTGCAGTAAAAGTTTGGGCAAACTGGCGGGGCGCGGTGCCTCACGCCTGTAATCCCAGCACTTTGGGAGGCCGAGGTGGGTGGATCACTGGAAGTCAGGAATTTGAGACCAGTCTGGCCAACATGGTGAAACCCCGTCTCTACTAAAAACACCAAAAAAATGATCTGGGTGTGGTGGCGCATGCCTGTCATCCCAGCTACTCAGAAGGCTGAGGCAGGAGAATCACTTGAAACTGGGAGGTGAAGGTTGCAGTGAGCCGAGATCCTGCCATTGCATTCCAGCCTGGGCAACAGCGCAAAACTCCATCTCAAAAAAAAAAAAAAAGGCGGGGCGCGGTGCCTCACGCCTGTAATCCCAGCACTTTGGGAGGCCGAGACAGGCGGATCACGAGGTCAGGAGATCGAGACCATCCTGGCTAACACAGTGAAACCCCGTCTCTACTAAAAAATACAAAAAAAAACTAGCCGGGCGAGGTGGCGGGCGCCTGTAGTCCCAGCTACTCAGGAGGCTGAGGCAGGAGAATGGCGTGAACCCGGGAGGCGGAGCTTGCAGTGAGCTGAGATCCGGCCACTGCACTCCAGCCTGGGCGGCAGAGCGAGACTCCATCTCAAAAAAAAAAAAAAAAAAAAAGACAACCTGCAGTAAAAGTTTGGGCGAACTTAGACCACCCTAGACCAGCCCCCCAGACAACTTCCTGCTCACCCCACCCGTCCCCCACAACCACTTCCAGCCCATCTCATGCTGCTGTCACCTTGAACAACTTCCCGCTTCCAGCCTGCACGTGCTTGTGGCCTCACACTCAGCACCTGAACAACCTGAAGCATCTGTCCTAATATCCAGCCAACCTCATGCCATGTACTTCAGCGTGAACACCCTCAATCCCTTGCTTCTCCCTGTCAGACAGGACAACCTCATGCTTCCCTGCTATCCATTTGGCTCTCTCCCATCCCAAGTTCAGATAACTTCAGCGTTCCGGGGGTGAACAAACCTACTTCCTCACAAATCCAAGGCCGGATGCCCTTTAGTCTCCCATCCCTACAGGTTGAGCCTGAACAACCTCACGATGATGCTACAAACTTAAGATCAGACAAACTTCTACACTCCCTTCTCTCACTTGACCCTAGACAATCTTTTTTTTTTTTTTTTTGAGACAGAGTCTTGCTCTCTCGCCAGGCTGGAGTGCAGTGGCGCAATCTCGGCTCACTCCAGCCTCCGCCTCCCGGGTTCAAGCAATTCTCGTGCCTCAGCCACCCGACTAGGCGTGTGCCACCACATCCACCTAATTTTTGTATTTTTAGTAGAGACAGGGTTTCACCATGTTGCAAGGCTGGTCTTGATCTCTTGACCTTGTGATCTGCCCGCCTTGACCTCCCAAAGTGTTGAAATTACAGGCATGAGCCACCGCGCCTGGCCTTTTTTTTTTTTTTTTTAATCAAGACAGGGTCTTGCTCTGTCGCCCAGACTGGTGTGATCTCAGTTCACTGCAGCCTCCACCTCCTAGGCTCAAGTGATCTTCCCACCTCAGCCTCCCCAGTAGTTGGGACTACAGGCACATGCCACCATGCTCAGCTAATTTATGTATGTGTGTGTGTGTATATATATATATTTTTTTTTCTTTTTTTTTTCTTTTTTTTGAGACAGAGTCTTGCTCTGTCGCCAGGCTGGAGTGCAGTGGTACGATCTTGGCTCACTGCAACCTCCACCTCCTGGGTTCAACCGATCCTTCCGCCTCAGCCTCCCAAGTAGCTGGGACTACAGGCACTTGCCACCAAGCCCAGCTAATTTTTTTTCGTATTTTTAGTAAAGACAGGGCTTCACTATGTTGGCCAGGCTGGTCTCGAACTCCTGACCTCAAGTGATCCATCCGCTTTGGCCTCCCAAAGTGTTGGGATTATAGGCATGAGCCATCACGCCCAGCCAATTTCTGTACTTTTTTATAGATGGAGTCTCGTCATGTTGCCCAGGCTGGTCTCAAACTCCTGAGCTCAGACAATCCACCCACCTTGGCCTCCCAAAGTGTTGGGATTACAGTTGTAAGCCACCATGCCCAGCCCATCCTACAAATTTAAGGCCAGACAACCGTCTACACTCGCTTCTGTCACTTGTCCATGGACAATCTTTTTTTTGTTTGTTTTTTTTTTTGAGACCAAGTCTCACTCTGTTACCCAGGATGGAGTGCAATGGCGCGATCTTGGCTCGCTGCAACCTCCGCCTCCCAGGTTCAAGTGATTCTCTTGCCTCAGCCTCCCGAGTAGCTGGGATTACAGGCGCCTGAACCACGCCCAGCTATTTTTTTGTTTTGTTTTTAGTAGAGACAGGGTTTCACCATGTTGGCCAGGCTGGTCTCAAACTCCTGACCTCGTGATCCACCTGCCTTGGCCTCCCAAAGTGCTGGGATTACAGGCCTGAGCCACCACACCCAGCTCTTTTTTTTGGGGGGGGACAGAGTCTCATTCTGTTGCCCAGGCTGAAGTGCAGTGCTATGATCTCGGCTCACTGCAACCTCCCCCTTGCAGGTTCAAGCAATTATTCTCCTGCCTCAACCTCCCGAGTAGCTAGGATTACAGGAGTGTGCCACTACACCCGACTAATTTTTGTATGTTTCTTGGAGACGGGGTTTCACCACGTTTGTCAGGCTGGTCTCAAACTCCAGACCTCAAGTGATCCGCCCAGCTTGACCTTCCAAAGTGCTGGGATTACAGACAGGAGCCACCGCACCTGGCCGGACCCTGGACAATCTTACTGTCTTTTAAATTCTAGGAAGATGACCTTTGGTGCCTCTCTCTCACACTGAGCCTAGACAACCTCATGACCTTACATCACTGGGGTACAGATGTTTTATGACCTCTTACCCCCACTCTGATTATCTTACCCCTACTCTCTGCCTGAACCACCTCACAGCCCTGTGAACCCAGGTAACCTTGGGCTCCATCCTTGAGCCTGGTCAGTCTGCTCCCCTCCCTGCTGCCCCCCATCCTGAGCTCCAAGCCATCCCTGCTCACCCCTGTCCCCAGGAAGGACTTGAAAGAGCTGATAATCACGGGCCCAGGGCTGGGGTACATTGTGCTTCTGCAAGGCTCGCTGGACCACGCTGGGGGCTTTGTCCTGACTGGTCAGCTGGAAGAGAGGGGCGGGAGGTGAGGCGAGGGCCCTGGCCCCAAGGGCAGGGCAGCCCCTAGCAGACCCCCAGCCCAGCCCCTCACCAAGATGCTTCGATACAGGTTCCCATGGTCATTGTCGATGCTGATGCGGATGACGCGGGCCTCCGAGCTCTGCTGCGCCGGGAGGGGGATTCGAGGGCTGCCCAGAGGCAAAGGGCCAGGTCTGGGCAGGTCCGGGCTCAGGGGCAGCTGCAGGCAGTAAGGGATGGAGGCTACAACTTGGCTCATCTGCAGATGCTGAGGGCTAGGAAAGCATGAACTTCTCAGCCACCACTGGTGTATTCAATAACCCCACATTGAAAATCTCAAGAAAACATTGGCTGGGTGCAGTGGCTCACGCCTGTAATCCGCCAGCACCTTGGGAGGTCGAGGCGGGCAGATCACCTGAGGTCAGGAGTTCAAGACCAGCCTGGCCAACATGGTGAAACTCCGTCTCTACTAAAAATACAAAAATTAGTGGGGCTTGGTGGCGCATGCCTGTAATCCCAGCTACTCGGGAGGCTGAGGCAGGAGAATCACTTGAACTTGGGGGGCAGAGGTTGTAGTGGGCCAAGATCACGCCACTGCACTCCAGCCTGGGTGACAGAGCGAGACTCCATCTCAAAAATAAATAAATAAATAAATAAATAAAATAAATAATAAAATAAAATAAAATCTCAAGAAAACATACTACTTCCCCCTACACATGCAGAGCCTGGGACATGCAACTAGGGTACATTCACAAGCCTTCATATATACCACCCTACCATATACAGACTTTGGTTCCCTATTACAGAAACAGACGTGAACGGTGTTCATATACACACAACCCGTGCTCATACACAAGAAATCCTGTGTACACACATATGCTGACAGTGGTTGGACACTCATAGCCCGTGCCAATGAACAACCCCACACGTGATCTCGTGAATACTCAGGCCCACATTTCCTCTTCTGGTATGCAGATTCTTTTCTTTTTCTTTTTTTGAGATGGCGTCTTGCTCTGTTGCCCAGGCTGGAGTGCAGTGGTGCCATTTCTGCTCACTGCAGCCTCTGCCTCCCGGGTTCAAGCAATTCTCATGCCTCACCCTCCCAAGTAGCTGGGATTACAGGCCTGTGCCACTATGCCCAGCTAATGTTTTTATTTTTAGTAGAGACGGGGTTTCACCATGTTGGCCAGGATGGTCTCAATCTCTTGACCTCGTAATCCGCACACCTCGGCCTCCCAAAGTGCTTGGATTACAGGCTTGAGCCACTGCACCCAGCCTCTTTTTCTTTAAAAACAGTGTCTCTCTCTGTCATGCAGGTTAGAGTGCTGTGGCATGATCGTAGCTCACTGCAGCCTCAAACTTCTCGGCTCAAGCGATCCTTCCACCTCAGCCTGCTGAGCCTACACCTCCCAGGTGTAGCCTGGGACTACACCCAGCTAATTTTTTTGACTTTTAATAGAGACAGGGTCTCACCATGCTGCCCAGGCTGGTCTTGAACTCCTGGCCTCAAGCAATCCTCCCACCTTGGCCTCCCAAAGTGCCGGGATCACAGGCAATAGCCACCATGTCTGGCATGGTATGCAAATTCTTAGGGACATACATGTCCTCAAAAAAGTGTAGGCTGGGTGCGGTGGCTCACGCCTGTAATCCCAACACTTTGGAAGGCCAAGGTGAGTGGATTGTTTGAGCTCAGGAGTTCGAAATCCCCCTGGGCAACATGGCGAGACCTCATCTCTACTAAAGACAAAAAATAGCAGGGCATGGTGGTGCACACCTGTGGTCCTAGCTACTTGGGAGACTGAGGTGGAAGGATCGATTGAGCCTGGGGGAGTGGTGGAAGTTGCGGTGAGCTGAGATTGCACCACTGCACTTCAGCTTGGGTGACAGAGCTAGAAGGCCCTGTTTCAAATAAAAAGGGGGCGTGATGTGATTGCACCCTAGATGCCCCATGGGTAAGCAGTTACACAGGTCCAGATCTGAGTACGAGTCAGATTGATGAGTGATCACCCAGACAGGGCCATGCAGATGCACGCAATGCCCTGGATGGATAACCCAGGTGCTCAGTGTGTCTCCTGTGTACACTCCTGGCCCTACAATCCTGTGTGTACACATGTGCATGCACACACACGCACACACACACACAGAGCCTGGGTGCCCACAGGCCCGTATGCACACACAAGCTGTCTTGGTACCTTGGTGCTGGGGCCCTGGGGCCCTGGAGAGGCCGGGGGACTGCCAGCAGGAGCATCTCTGCTTCTGGGACTTGAGGGGGGAGACCCTGGGGACACACTGGGGGAGATGCAGAGGCCGAGGTGGGGTGGCTGTGCTGACTCCTGATCCCACGGTCCCTGGTCCCGTCACCAAGCAGAATGCTCACCTGGAGGTGGGGGATGAGGGGTTCCCGGGACTCCAACTAGGGAATGAGCTTTTCTCTCGGGAAAGCTTCCTAAGGAGGGGGACAGGGGATGAAGCTAAGGCAGGAGCAGCCCCTGCTGATATCTGCCCACATCACTCCCCACACATACACCCTGAAACTCACGCACTGAGACGCTTGGTGAGGCTGATCCGCCGTTGGATTCGTGGGGAGCTGGGGCAAGAGGCAGCTGGTGGCTCAATGACCCGGGAGAGCCGGTAGCTGAGGGGGTCAACATGTGGATGAGGTGGTGGGGGCAGGAAATACAGGGGATGGAGAGATAAGAGTTAGAATCAGGGCCGAGCGCGGTGGCTCAAGCCTGTAATCCCAGCACTTTGGGAGGCCGAGACGGGCGGATCACGAGGTCAGGAGATCAAGACCATCCTGGCTAACACGGTGAAACCCCGTCTCTACTAAAAAATACAAAAATCTAGCCGGGCGAGGTGGCGGGCGCCTGTAGTCCCAGCTACTCAGGAGGCTGAGGCAGGAGAATGGCGTGAACCCGTGAACTGCGGAGCTTGCAGTGAGCTGAGATCCGGCCACTGCACTCCAGCCTGGGCCACAGAGCGAGACTCCGCCTCAAAAAAACAAAACAAAACAAAACAAAACAAAACAAACAAAAAAAGAGTTAGAATCAGTTGGGAGGTGGGTTTGGGGTGTAAGAGGGAGCAGCCAGAGGTGGCATCCCACATGTCAGGGTCAGGGTGGTAAATGAGGGTCATTAAGCATCAAGGTCTTATCAGAGATGGGACAGGATGGCTGGTCAAGAAGTCACAAAGAGATTCACAGGGTGGCACTAAGGAATCAAATTGGGTCAGGATTAAAGTCAGGGTCAGGACCGGGCGTGGTGGCTCACGCCTGTAATCCTAGCACTTTGGGAGGCCGAGGCGAGAGGATTGCTTTGGGTCAGGAGTTCGAAACCAGCCTGGCCAATATAGTGAAATCCCATCCGTACTCAAAATGCAAAAAATTAGCCGGGTGTGGTCGCTTGCGCCTATAATTGCGGCTACTCGGGAGGATGAGGCAGGAGAATTGCTTGAACCTGGGAGGCGGAGGCTGCAGTGAGCCGAGATCGTGCCACTGCACTCCAGCCTGGGCAACAGAGTGAGAGTCTGTTTCAAAAATAAATAAATAAAATAAAAAAATAAAGTCAGGGTCAGACTGGGGTCTGGTCACCACTGGGGTCAATGGTTAGGGTCACAGTTATATAGAAAGAAAGTACACAGTTGTGATAGTCAAGTTGGACAAATAAACACGAAAGTTGGAGACAGTTACTCAGAACTGAGGATCAAGGGTTGGGGTCAGAGTCAGATTCAGATGAGGGGTCATGGGTCAGATAGGACCAAACATGGGGAAGTCAACACTTGGGACAGTTGAGTTGAATGACCAGCTGAATATGCTAAAGTTGAGGTCAGAAAATCAGATGGGGTCAAAATTGAGATGAGAGATCAATTGTGACTTTTTTTTTTGTCTTACTCTGTTACCTAGACTGGAGCTGCAGTGGTGTGATTCTGGCTTACTCCAACCTCCGCCTCCCAGGCTCCAGTGATCCTCCCACCTCAGCCTCCCAAGTAGCTGGGACCAATGGCACTCAACACCACGTTCAGCTAATTTTTGTATTTTTTTGTAGAGATGGGGTTTCACCATGTTGCCCAGGCTGGTCTCAAACTCCTGGGCTCAAGCGATCCACCCACCTTGGCCTCCCAAGTGCTAGGATTACACGCGTGAACCACCAGGCCCAGTCTATTTGATTCGGCTGGAGATACTGCAAGGTCACAGGTTGTAGGGGGGTCAGGGCTCAAGAGGGGGTCTTGGGAGGAGCTGGAGGTGTGTACGGAATGGGTGGAATCCAGTTCATGACCAGGATCGGCTGGGGTGGGGCCAGGACAGGCTACAGGGTGGTCACCTCTGCTCCTCACTGAGCTGGCGCTGGGCATGCAGGGCAGCCAGGATGGGCGGGTGGGGGCTCAGGGTGTAGCTCTGACAGCGCCTCTGCAGCTGCTGGATGCGGGCCAGGATCTCCCACTCCTGGGGGATGAGCCTCTGAGACTCCACCCCTGGCCCACCCCCACCCCACCTTCAGGCACCACCCCCACACCCACTGTAGCCTCCACTCACCTTCCTCCTCTTCTCAAAGTTAATGAGATCCCCCTGGGGGCAAAGTATGTCTGAATTGCAGCACCCAGGGTCAAGGGTCAAGGTCAGGGGCTGAGATGTCAGGAGCCCCACTGTGGGGCGGTGTCAGGAGTACAGGTAGGATCAAGGGTGGATATCGGGGCAAGTGGAGCTGGGGTCGGGGTCAAGGGTCAGGGATCAGACCTCCAACATATCCGGCAGGGCTGTGTCCAGCATAACCAGGTCCGTGAGGAAGGTGCCAAGGTAGGGGACAGGGCCTGGGGGTGGTTTCTGCGGCCCCCAAAGCTCCAGTCACTCAGGGCCATAACTGATCCCATCAACCTCCACGCCCCTCCCTGAAGATCCCACTTGTCCCCATCCCAAACTGTAATCACTCACCGAGGGCAGGCTGCCTGGGGTGTTGTCCTCTTTTTGGGATCCCTCAGTGGCCTCCTCCTGGGGGGAGAGAAAAACTGAGCAGGCCTGGGGTCTCCTGGGACAATTCCTCAGGGAGGATGCCTGCAGACCCATTGTATGTACCCTTCGTGCTTTGAGTAATCAAAAGCCAGTGGTAGGCCAGGCGTGATGGCTCAGGCCTATAATCCCAGCACTGTGGGAGGCCAAGGCAAGCAAATCATGTAAGGTCAGGAGTTCGAGACCACCCTGGCCAATATGGTGAAACCCCGTCTCTACTAAAAATACAACAATTAGCCAGGTTTGGTGGCTCACGCCTGTAGTCCCAGCTACTTGGGAGGCTGAGGCAGAAGGATAGCTTGATCCTGGGAAGCAGAGGCTGCAGTGAGCCGAGATCGCACCACTGCACTCCAGCCTGGGCGACAGAGCAAGACTCTCTCTCAAAAAAAAAACTATTTTTCAAAGGCCGGACATGGTGGCTCACGCCTGTAATCCCAGCACTTTTGAAGGCTGAGGCTGGCGGATCACATGAGGTAAGGAGTTTGAGACCAGCCTGGCTAACAGAGTGAAACCCTGTTTCTACTAAAAACTAGCTGGGCATGGTAGCTTGTTTCTGTAATTCCAGCTACTTGGGAGGCTGAGGCAGGAGAATCGTTTGAACCCGGGAGGCGGAGGTTGCAGTGAGCCGAGATCGCACCATTGCACTCCAACTTGGGCAACAAGACCAAAACATCTCAAAAAAAAAAAAAAGAAGCCGGTGGTGAAGGCCCATTCTAGAAGCCAGACCACCTTGGGTGGGGGTAGAGAGGTGACAAACAGCAGGGAGAGGGCTCCCCCATAAGAGGTGAAGCTTGTAGGGGTGGTGGCCCCCAGGGTTGGCCTTAACAAGGAGAGAATCCTTGTCTGCAGCTGGATGGCACAGGCCTGCCAAGGATCTCCTGGGTATCCTGAATTTGCTGTTGTTTATTTACTTTTTATTTTATTTTATTTTGAAATGGAGTCTCACTTTGTCACTCAGGCTGGAGTGTAGTGGCATGATCTTGGCTCACTGAAGCCTCGACAGCCCAAGTTCAAGCGATCCTCCCACCTCAGCCTCCTGAGTAGCTGGGACTACAGGTGTGCACCACCAACGCCCAGCTAATTTTTGTACTTATTTGCAGAGATGGGGTTTTGCCATGTTGCCCAGGTTGGTCTCGAACTCCTGGGCTCAAGTGATCCTCTCACCTCGGCCTCCCAAGTGCTGGGATTATAGGCGTGAGCCACAGAGCCCAGCTCATGTGTTGTTCTAGGTGCCGGGCAGGCAACAGTGAACAAAAAAGGCAAAATTTGGCTGAGAGTGATGGCTCACACCTGTAATGCCAGCACTTTGGGAAGCCAAGGCAGGTGGATCACCTCAGGTCAGGAATTCAAGACCACCCTGGCCAACATGACAAAACCCCCTCTCTACCAAATACAAAAATTAGCCAGGCGTGGTGGCGGGTGCCTGTAATCTTAGCCACTTGGGAGGCTGAAGCAGAGAGAATTGCTTGATCCTGAGAGGTGGAGGTTGCAGTGAGCCAAGATCATGCCACTGCATTCCAGTCTGGGTGACGGAGTGAGACTCCATCTCAATACAAAGAAACAAAAAAAAAACCAATGACGACAACAACAACAAAAAACCAGATGTGTGGTTTTGGGGATGATGGAGGCTGGGAAGGCCTCTCAGAGGCAGGGACATTTGATCAGAGACCAGAAGGAGGTGAGTGAGCAAGTTGCATGCACACCTTGATGGGTGGGGAATGTTCCAGGCCCAAGCATCTATTCTAGATTCACTGTAAAAACCACTGCCTGATTGCAATGAGAATCTAAATCTTGCTTATAAATAAGCCAGACTTTTGACACACATTTTTTAGTTTTGCTTATCAAGGTAAAGTCCTCAGAACATTTTTTTGTTGTTGTTGTTCCCATCGTGTGCTATGACTCTGGCCTTAAGTAACCTTTTCTTTGTGCTTTCTTGTGTTTTGCTGAGTGAATAAATAGGGCAGTCACTGACTGTGAACTACAATGCAGGAAGTAAAGGAAAGAAAAACGTGCAACCCGCCAGGGACAAGGGTAAGGTCATTGCTGAGCGGTAGGGAAGGACAGAGTGTCCTGACCACAGCAGGGCGATTCTCCCTGCCTGGCCCCAAGTCCCTCCCCCAACTTCCTGGGCCTAAAATCCCCGGGGTCTGCATCCATCTCTACCTGGAAAAGAATCTCTCTACTGCTGAGGTGGTTGTTCTCATCGGAGAAAATCTGCGAAAGTTTCCTGAAGGTAGATAGCGGTTCCCTGGGAGGACAGGAAAAGGGTGGTCAGGGGTCAGTGGCTTGGAAGGGTCAGACCTGGGATGGGGTGGGGAAGAGGTCCCGCCCCAGCTCACCGGCTTACGGCCCCCCAGCTGCGCTTGAGCCGGTAGATGGGGTTAGATTGCAGGGCGGACAGGATGGCGCGCAAGGAGGAGAAGTTCCGCAGTTCTCGGCAGCGCTGCCAGGCGGTGGGGACGCAGGTCAGACCCAGGCATTATCCACCTTTCATCCTGAAACTTCTTTGTCTTTTTTTTTTTTTTTTTTTTTTTTTTTTTTTTTTTTTAGAGATAGGGTCGGCCGGGCGCGGTGGCTCAAGCCTGTAATCCCAGCACTTTGGGAGCTAGATTCACTGTAAAAACCACTGCCTGATTGCAATGAGAATCTAAATCTTGCTTATAAATAAGCCAGACTTTTGACACACATTTTTTAGTTTTGCTTATCAAGGTAAAGTCCTCAGAACATTTTTTTGTTGTTGTTGTTCCCATCGTGTGCTATGACTCTGGCCTTAAGTAACCTTTTCTTTGTGCTTTCTTGTGTTTTGCTGAGTGAATAAATAGGGCAGTCACTGACTGTGAACTACAATGCAGGAAGTAAAGGAAAGAAAAACGTGCAACCCGCCAGGGACAAGGGTAAGGTCATTGCTGAGCGGTAGGGAAGGACAGAGTGTCCTGACCACAGCAGGGCGATTCTCCCTGCCTGGCCCCAAGTCCCTCCCCCAACTTCCTGGGCCTAAAATCCCCGGGGTCTGCATCCATCTCTACCTGGAAAAGAATCTCTCTACTGCTGAGGTGGTTGTTCTCATCGGAGAAAATCTGCGAAAGTTTCCTGAA